TTGCTAACCCGAGGGATGACAGAATAAGTGCTCAAAGTGGGCCACATTGAAAAGGCTGGCCTTTCTCAGGAGAAATGAAGTTCCTTCCTCTGGGTCCCAGAGGAGTAGACAGAATGGGAGCATTGAGCTCCCAGACAGACCCGTGCACTTTTCACAGGCTGTACATCCAACGTCATCCTAAAGTGTAACGTAGTTATCTTAGGAAAGTTCAATGTCAAGGTGCATTCTGAGGAGCACCAGGGCCGGAGGAGTGATTCCCAAGCCGGGGCCCTGGGCTGCTCAGAGCTGCATTATTGGGGCTTCTTGTCACAAACGCAGGTGTGTAGACTTCAAGGCAGACGCTGAATCGGAGTGACCGGGGATGAAGGAATCTTCGTTTTGACCAGAAGCCCCTCACCAAAATGCGAGGCCACTAGTACACAATGAGGGAGGTGTGAGTCCCATCTTCGTGCTGAAGAAATTACACCAGGAAGAGGATGCCTAGCTCTGCGTGCCATGGATTACCCGTGGCTGTGATGTGTGGCTGCGTGCTCAAAGTCAATCCATGTACATAGTGCTCAGAAGAACAGAGCCCAGCACATGGGAAGTGCTGGATACACGTTTGGTAGCTTTAGCAGTAAGAGGAAGCCCTTCCTACAAAGCAGATCTGTCTGAACAATGAATGGTAGTGAGACGCCCACCTCTGGAAGTATGCAAGGCCAGGGAGCTGCCACTGAAAAGGATGTTCTTGACAGAGTTGTCTGCTGGTCTGGATAAGCGACCTACTGGCTCTGGAACTCTTCCATTCCTACCATGTTCTGTTGTGCCTGAGTTGGGGACTCTTTCTCTGCCTGGGCAGCAGGCAGGAAGACCCAGTGAGAGACAGCCAGGCAGCAGGGGGTCCCTCAGGGTGCCCTGCGACAGAAGCTGCACAGCCAAATGGGTGCTGATGGGTCTCAGAGAGACCCACTGACCCTTAAAGTAGTCTCCGGCTTTCCGCCAGTCCGGCCTGTCCGAAACTACGTCAGGGGAACTGGGCAGTGATGGGCCCTAAGGAGTTGGTGGGGTGCCCCTCCCCAAAGCATTTGCGTCTTAAGAGAAACACGCTGGTTCCTCGCGGTGTTGTTTCAGGTCTGGAGAGTAGTTGAGGAAATACGTGGGAGCCTGGCATCATTCCACAGAAAGCCAGCGCTCCCGATATGTGATCCGTAAAGGCAGGTGACAGGAAAAAGCAATGGTGACACGCGTTCATGTCACTGGCTGAACGAACCCCAGGACCTGGGAGAGCTTTCTGGCTGGGCCTGACTGTCTCTGGTTTTGTGTCCGGCAGGTGGTAAAGGCATTTATAGTCCTTTCTCCAGCCTACTCCTCTCGTGACCCCGAGGAACTGACCCGTGAACTCCAGGAGCACGTGAAGCGGGTGACCGCTCCGTACAAGTACCCCAGGAAGGTAAGCGTCTGCTGTTCCAGGAGATGCTGTGCTGGCAAACCAGAGGGGCACACGCAGGTCCAGACGCTGGCAAGAGAGACAAGGACTCAAATCACCGTCCCGGCTACTTCAGCCATTTCTCTGTTCCTTTGCTGGGTCTTCCCCCCAAGCACATTTTGTTCCCACTCTAAGAGGTGACCACATATCAGGCTTTTTTTTGGCGGGTGGGGGTGGCTGAAATGCTGTTGGAAGGATCACGTGCTTCAGGCCCTTATCTTGATGGTTGTTTTTGGGAAAAACCATGAACCGTGGAGGCATGCTGATGACATGGCTGGGGGTAACGGCTCTTTCAAGACAAGAGTCTTCCCGGGAAACGATGACTTCTAAGTGTTGTTGCTTCTGTTTCGTGGTCATTAGGTGGCCTTTGTTTCAGAACTGCCGAAGACAGTTTCTGGAAAGATCCAAAGGAGCATATTGAGAAGCCAAGAGTGGAGAGATGAGATGCGAGCCCAAAAGGGCCCCGC